ATACGCAGGGGTATACAGAGGTAAAAAAAAGAGGTGTATACGCAGGGTATACAGAGGTAATATGAGGTGTATACGCAGGGTGGATGGTATAATGTATAGAGAGATGTATATAGAGGTAATATGAGATATATGGGGGTACATCCATGTATAAGATATATAATGCAAAGAGGTATATGGGGTGTATACAGAAGTAATATGAAGTATATGGGAATCACACACAGGGTATACAGAAATATGTATATACAGTGTATATGGGGGTATACAGAGATAGTATGAGGTATATACAGAGGTAAAAATGAGGTGTATACAAGGTATATAGATGTATATGAAGTGTATACAGAAGTAATATGAGGTATATGGGGGTACATACAATGTCTATAGATAATGAGGTATATGGGGGTGCATACAATGTCTATAGATATATGAATGAGGTGTAAGGGGGGTGCATACAATGTCTATAGATAAAAGGTATATGGGGGTACATACAATGTCTATAGATAATGAGGTATATGGGGGTACATACAATGTCTATAGATAAAAGGTATATGGGGGTACATACAATGTCTATAGATATATATAATGGAATATGGGGGTACAATTTAAAAACAATGTATACAAGATGTATATGGGGGGTAATACGTCTATAGATAATATGAGGTATATGGGGGTACATACAATGTCTATAGATAATGAGGTATATGGGGGTACATACAATGTCTATAGATATATAATGAGGTATATGGGGTACATACAATGTATACAGAGATGTATATGGGGGTAATACAATGTCTATAGATATATAAATGAGGTGTATACAGAGGTAAAGGTATAAGGGGTATATAGAGGTAGTATGAGGTGTATACAGTGTATATGGGGAGTACACAGAGTATATAGATGTAAAGAGGTGTATACAATGTCTATAGATATATAATGAGGTATATGGGGGTGCATACAATGTATACAGAGATTTATATGGGGGTACATAAATGTATACAGAGATGTATATGGGGGTGCATACAATGTCTATAGATATATAATGAGGTGTATACAGCGGTAATAGGTATAAGGGGTATATAGAGGTAGTATACAATGTATATGGGGAGTACACAGAGAGTATATAGATGTATAGTGAGGTGTATACAATGTCCATAGATATATATAATGAGGTATATGGGGGTACATACAATGTATATAGATGTATAGTGAGGTGTATACAGTGTATATGGGGAGTACAGAGAGTATATAGATGTATAGTGAGGTGTATACAATGTCTATAGATATATAATGAGGTGTATATAGAGGTAGTATGAGGTGTATACAATGTATATGGGGAGTACACAGAGAGTATATAGATGTATAGTGAGGTGTATACAATGTCTATAGATATATAATGAGGTGTATATAGAGGTAGTATGAGGTGTATACAATGTATATAGATATATAATGAGGTGTATATAGAGGTAGTAACAGGTGTATACAGTGTATATGGGGAGTACAGAGAGTATATAGATGTATAGTGAGGTGTATACAATGTCTATAGATATATAATGAGGTGTATATAGAGGTAGTATGAGGTGTATACAGTGTATATGGGGAGTACAGAGAGTATATAGATGTATAGTGAGGTCTATAGATATATACAGAGGTATATACACAGAGTGGATGGTACAATGTATACAGAGATGTATATGGGAGTACATCATACATGTAATGAGGTGTATACAATGTACATGGGGTAATAGGTGGAATAAAGAGGTGCTATGAGGTGTATACAATGTATATGGAGGGGTATACAGAGCCCACCCCTTTCCCGGTCTCCCCTCCCCCGCTCTTACCGGGCCCGCTGCTCTCCTCCTCACACCTCCTCACCCTCCGCTCTGCCAGCGCCAGATGATGCTGCCGTAGTCGTGCCGCGCGCGCTCCCGCCGAAGCCTCGCGAGATTCCGCCGCGCGCACACCGCTCCCCTGTCTCCGCCCCTGCCGCGTCCGCGCGCCTCCCGGAGAAGAAAGAAAGGCGGTGGAGGGGGCGAGCGCGCTCCCGAATATTGCTCCACAGCGGCCACTGGCGGCCGCATCCTGTGTTACCATGGAGATATGGGGATGGGGGAGAGCTCAGTCCCAATGGCCGGGCAGTGGGGGTGGGGGGTGACAACGGAAGTGGACACAGGCCGGTTCAAGGAGGGGGATATCTAGCTATCAAAGGCTGGAGTATGATTTCATAAACACTTTCCGTATTATAGGGAGACATCTATTGATGAAAAATGCTGGTGTCCTGGCTGCCTCCGACCTTTGCTGTTAGGTAGAATTACCAACAGCATGCAGCCAGTGAAGTCTGAGCCCCTGACCTGCCCATGGCTGTTAGATCAGCATTGGAATCATATGATCAGCATGTCAGGCAACATAGCATTTCCAATGCCCCCCCCCTTCTCCTGATTTGTCTCATTACCTGTCATGGCAAAATGATGGGGGCTGCCGCATCTGGCCTCCTGAAAATTCCACAGGCCTGGCTGTGTCTTCCTTAACCCTTTCCCTGCCAAACCACATGTTAAAAAGCACATTTTAGGCCCGAAGATTAGTTAAACCCCCCCCTCCCAAACATTCTGCAAGCGGAGACCCTGGAGAATAAAACAGCGGGCGTTCCGATTCTTTATGTCACACAATAGAAGTGCAAACGTTTATCAAGTACACGTGTTCAGTATAAAATACACTAAAGCTGATTGTAGAACACACCAGTGCAGCCGATGGCCCAATATTCTGCTCAAATAGAAAAGATGGCATCACGCCGAGTAAGCTGATACCAAACATGTCAAGGCTTACAACTGCACGTGCCCGGGAAACGGCGACACACTTCCCTACCTGATATCTTCCAGAGGTGGCGCTATAAAAGCCCCGACAGCAGGGGCGGACTGACAACTCATGGGGCCCTCGGGCAATAGGGGATCATGGGGCCTCTGTGTCCTTGCCCAAACTGAAAAAAGCCTATGAAAAAGGTACCAGGGGCATCTCATGGGGCCCACTACTGACCCCGGGCCCTCGGGCAGTGCCTGAGTTTCCACATGGTCAGTCTGCCCCTGCCCGACAGTCATCAGCTTAGAGTTAACCGTGACTAATGGTCCAACAATTATTCATGTCACTCCGCCATGCGCAGCGATATGTAACGTGCAGCACAAGCAATGTGCCCCAAACATGCGTTTATGTACATACGGGGGGGCGGACTGACAACTCATGGGGCCCCGGGCAATAGGGGGATCATGGGGCCCTTGTGTCCTTGCCCAAACTCAAAAAAGCCTATAAAAAAAGGTACCAGGGGCATCTCATGGGGCCCCCTACTGACCCTGGGCCCTCGGGCAGTGCCTGAGTTTCCAAATGGTCAGTCCGCCCCTGTGTACATATAAGCATTCATGTCACTCCGCCATGCGCAGCGATATGTAACATGTGCAGCACAAGCAACGTGCCCCAAACATGCGCATTTATGTACATATAAGCATGCATTCAGGGGTGGGGCAGGTTCCAACTTTTTTTTTTTGGGGGGGGGTCCTTTTTAATACATTTTTTATTTTCACATATTGGGTGCAATGATGATAATGGGGGAGGTGGGGGTCCTTAAAGTGTCTGTAAACCCTTCCACATACCCAGTGAAGGGAGTGGCCTCAGGTGATACACAGAGATGAAAGAAATCCTTCTACATCTGTTGTACCTGTTTATCTGCAGTCTTCTTTTCTCTACAGCCCAGGGACGGACTGACAACTCATGGGGCCCCTGGGCAATAGGGGATTATGGGGCCCCTGTGTCCTTGCCCAAACTCAAAAAAGCCTATGAAAAAGGTACCAGGGGCATCTCATGGGGCCCCAAACTGACCCAGGGCCCTTGGGCAGTGCCCGAGTTTCCAAATGGTCAGTCCGCCCCTGCTACAGCCATTCAAAGTGCTGAATTTATACGTCTGAGAGTTCAGAAAAAACGAGGCGGAGAGCTGAAATTACACTCTGCAAAGTGGGGAGAGCGATGAGAGCTGATTGGAGGGAAGGGACACCCCCCCCCCTCCACACAGGAACAGAGCTGAGGCTGTCAATCAGCTGGAGGTCCCTCCCCTGTCACCATATTTGTCTTGGTGTCAGGAAAACTTGTCAGAGGTGATTCATGCTGATAGCAGAGGAACAAAGTAGCAGACAGAAATGACACTTAGTGCTCTGGACTGAGACCAGTCCACACTATAGAGGGATATGCTTTGTTCATATTTCATGTCTGAGGTTTACAGATTTGCAGAAATACACTACAGTCCATCTAACATGATTTCCTAGGGGTCATGTTCACATCTCTGCGTTTTCAACCAGTGTGTTTTTTTTTAAAAGGGTCAGGGACTTTTTTTGTCCCCAGCAGATTACGTTTCTGGTTCCATAGACTTCAATGGCAAAGTACAGAAAACATATGAAAAACATGTGCATGTGATTTTGGGGCATTTTCGGTGCATTTCCTGCATGACAACAGACACCTCCCCTAGCAACATTACCTCCCCCTAGAAACATTAACACGTCTCAAAAATTCAAAACAGAAAATGCATCAAAAACGCATTTAAAACACATCCAACCCCCTGTGAAAAAAACGCAAACCTCACCACAAAATGCACCGGAATTATGCATCAACTGCATAGATGGCCTAGCCTTGCCCTAGGTTCACAGCTATGCGTTTTCCACAGCGTTGTGCAGAGACGCACAGCAGTCCATTTACCATGATCTCCTAGGGGACAGGTTCACATCTCTGCGTTTTCACCCGGTTTTTTGGAAAGGGTCAGGGACTTTTTTAACCGCCTCCCGCCCGCCATATAGTACAATGACAGGCGCAAGGTGGTTCTCTCATTCTGGGAGGACGTCATATGACGCCCTCCCATTCTATGCGTGGCTCAGGGAGAGCGCAGCGCGCGCGATCGGTGGTGCGCTGTGTCCCTCGGACACAGCGGATCACGGATCAACAGAAAGAGCTGAAGAGGTTGGCTCGGTCATGTGATCAGCTGTGTCCAATCACAGCTGATCGTATGTAAATAGGGAAATGCCGGTTATCAGCATTTCTCTACCCACGAGCTGTCACGCTGACAGAGGAGAGGAGAGCCGGTAATCGACATCCCTCAGAGGGGACATGTACACTGATCATCAGGGCACTGATGATCAGTGTGCCCTGATGATCTGTGTAGCCCCAGCAGTGCCAGCTGTCAGTGTCCATCAGTGCCAGCTGTCAGTGCTCATCCATGCCACCTGCCAGTGCCCATCAGTGCCACATTTCAGTGCCCATCTGAGCTGCCTATCAGTGTCAGTCAGTGCCATCTATCAGTGCCAGTCAGTGCCGCCTATCAGTGCCAGTCAGTGCCGCCTAACAGTGTGCATCAGTGCTGCCTATCAGTGCCGCCTAACAGTGCCAGTCAGTGCCACCTAACAGTGCCAGTCAGTGCCGCCTATCACTGTGCATCAGTGCCGCCTATCAGTGCCAGTCAGTGCTGTCTATCAGTGCCACCTATCAGTGCCACCTAACAGTGCCAGGCAGTGCCACCTAACAGTGCCAGTCAGTGCCACCTAACAGTGCCAGTCAGTGCCGCCTATCAGTGTGCATCAGTGCTGCCTATCAGTGCCAGTCATTGCTGTCTATCAGTGCCACCTATCAGTGCCGCCTATCAGTGCTGCCTTTCAGTGCCATATATCAGTGCTGCCTTTCAGTGCCCATCAGTGATGCCTGTCAATGCCCATCAGTGCTACCTACCAGTGCCTCCTCATCAGTGCCCATCAGTGCCACCTATCAGTGTCCATCTGTGCAGTCTATCAGTGCCCATCACTGCAGCCTCATTAGCGCACATCAGTGAAGGAGAAAAATCACTTATTTACAAAATTTTATAACAAAAAAACTAAGAAACATTTTTTTTTTTTCAAAATTATCAGTGGTTTTGTTTAAGAAAAAATAAAAATCCCAGAGGTGAATAAATGCCACCAAAATAAAGCTCTATCTGTCACAAAAAAAATGCTAACATTTTTTATATGGGTACAGTGTTGCATGACCGCGCAAATTGTCATTCAAAGTGTGACAGCGCTGATAGCTGAAAATTGGCCTGGACAGGAAGGGGGTAAAAGTGCCCTGTAGGCTAGAAGCTAAACGCAAAAAGTTGCGTTTTTTGTTTAATAGATGTCAATGAGGATGCTGCAGAAATGCATGTTTTTTTATGAGCTTTTGACACGTTTTTGATGCTTTTTGTGTTTCAACCTGCCCAGCAACAAGTTGGAAAAAAAAAATGCAAAACGCGTTAAAACACATGTGCAAAGAAACGCAAAACACACCGCAGAGATGGATGAAATGCAAAGTGCATAGGTGTGAACCTAGCCTGAGCCCTGGTTCACACTGATCCCATACGGAATTCATAGCGTTTTCTGTGCAAATTCCGCAACGTATCAGAATCGCACCCCGTTTGCGCAAACCGCTGCAGGTTTCTATGTTCAGTTACCAACCCCCCCGAAAGTGGTCCGCAAAACGCGATGCGATGTGCAGAATTGGATTGCATAGGCAGTGAATACCCATGCGATCCGATTCTAGTGCGGACCCAAAAAAGGGTCCTGCACCTTTTTGGTGTGGGTGCGGTGCAATTAGAGCCATACAAAATGTATTTCTCCAAATGCACCGCACACAAATCGCATGTGATGTACCGCACCGCATATACAGTATGTGAACCCAGGCTGATGGTATGATCCCAGGGACAGGTTCTCTTTAATGAGACATCAGGGGTCTACTAGACTACAAAGAAGCTAATGGAGTACAGACCAGGGGCGGACTGACCATTTGAGCACTCGGGCACTGCCCGAGGGCCCGGGGTCAGTAGGGGGCCCCATGAGATGCCCCTGGTGCCTTTCATTGGCTTTTTCATAGGCTTTTTTGGGTGTGGGCGAGGACACAGGGCCCCATGATCCCCTATTGCCCGGGGGCCCTATGAGTTGTCAGTCTGCCCCTGGTACAGATCGTGCTCCATTAGCCTCTTTCCCAGCCACAGCGGCCAGGAAAGGTGACAGCCGAACCCGGAAGTGATGCACTTGTTCCGGTTTCCGGCATCTGATTGGTCATTCTATTCTATTCTTTTTTAATTGTATTGTTTTCAAATTTCAGAAGACGGCTATATTTATTCTATTCTATGCTTTTCTATTCTATTCTTTTATTTTCTATTTTATTCTTTTCTATTCTATCTTTTTATTTTCTATTCTATTTTATTCTATTTCTTTTATTTTCTATTCTATTCTGTTCTATTTTACTCTATTCTATTCTATTTCATTCTATTCTGTTCTTTTTGAAATTTCGTATTTTGGAAGACGGCTATATTCATTCTACTCTATTCTTTTTTTTCTATTCTATTCTATTCGTTCTTTCATTTTCTATTCTAGTCTTTTATTTTCTGTTCTTTTCTTTTCTATTCCATTCTACCCTTTTATATTCTCTATTCTATTTCATTCTGTTCTGTTCATTTTGAAATTTTGGATTTTGGAAGACTGCTATATTCATCCTATTCTATTTTTTCTATTCTATCTATTCATTCTTTTATTTTCTATTCTATTATTTTTATTTTCTATTCTTTTCTATTCTATCCTTTTATTTTCTATTCTAGTTTATTCTATTCTTTTATTTTCTATTCTATTTTACTCTATTCTATTTCATTCTATTCTGCTCTTTTCAAAATTTTGGAAGACTGCTATATTCATTCTATTCTTTCTATTGTATTCTATTCTATTCTTTTCTTTTATTCTCTATTATTTTCCATTCAATTTTTTATTTTCTATTCTATTTTATTCTATTCTTTTATTTTCTATTATTTTTCATTCTAATTTTTATTTTCTATTCTATTCTTTTATTTTCTATTATTTTCCATTCTATTTTTTATTTTCTATTTTATTCTATTCTATTCTTTTATAAATTCAAATTTCGAAAAGACAGCTATATTATTATATTGTACACTTTTGAAGGAAATCAGCAATAGTCAGCAATAAGCTTATATTTCAAATCTGTTTTCAAATTCAATTTTGTTTTCAAATTCGATTCCAATTTCAGAATTTCAAATTTTGTTTCCTTATTTCGGATTCGTTTAAATTTGCTCCCATTGTAATTCGGATACATCCGAATCTACAAATAGGGAAAGTTTCATCCAAATTTCCATTCGGAATGAAACTAACCGCACATGTCTATTCACAACCTCTATCCGATGCCAGTCCCAGGCCTAAAGGTGGAATAGCAGGAGCAGGAGGGGGGGTTATAAAGGGGGCATACATGGAAGCGATCGAGCGGCTGGATCACTTGATCTGTATTGGGGGAGGGTGGGATCTGTACTGGGGGGAGACCTATAATTGGAGGAAGGAACCATTACTAGCAGGAGGGGGATGATTTTAGGCTGACCCCCCCATCCTCAGGAGAAAAATGTTCTACAGAGCTATGGACCATAGATACAAATGTCTACCTGGACACAAGACTTGGAAGGAGGCCGATGACATGAAGTATGGAATATGAGGATATGGGGATGTCTTTAAGAGATGGGAGGATCACTCAGATGAATTCCTGCAAAATAAAATGTCCTGTCATCGCAGTGTGGTCAATATGGATGGAAATCAGGGTCGGACTGACCATCTGGAAACTCGGGCAGTGCCCGAGGGCCCGGGGTCAGTAGGGGGCCCCATGAGATGCCCCTGGTACCTTTTTCATAGGCTTTTTTGCGTTTGTGCAAGGACACAGGGGCCCCATGATCCCCTATTGCCCGGGGGCCCCATGATCCCCTATTGCCCGGGGGCCCCATGAGCTGTCAGTCCACCCCTGATGAAAATCAGTTTAATCAGTTCAGTTTTTCCCTTATACACCGCTATGGAACAACCTTCCCATCTCTGCTATTGGTCTATGGGCCTGTTTATTCAGCAATAATTTATTCACCAAGAACTCCAGAAGGTGTTATGGCCAGGCCATTTTTTGCTTTTCAGCACTGCACTAATTAACACGGTCATGCAACACTGTACCGAAATGAAATTTATATTATTTTTTTCGCACAAATAGAGCTTTCTTTTGGTGCTATCTGATCACCGCTGGGTTTTTTATTTTTTATTATATAAATTAAAAAAAGACTGAAATTTTGAAGAAAAAAAAAACATATATTTTCTAATTCCTGTTATAAAAACATATTCAATAAAATCAAATTTCTCATAAATTTGGCCAAAACGTATCCTGCCACATGTCCTTGGTAAAACAAATCCCAAAAAGTATAATTGGTTTGTGTGAAAGTTTTAGAGCTTAAAATTTCAGGTCCTGAGCTACGAGCCAGGCCTTAGAGTTACTCGCCACCAACAAACACACACACATACAGAGACACCTGTACACACACACAGACATGTACATACACACCTACATACAGACACATGTATACACACACAGGCACGTACAGACACGTATACACACAGATACATGTACATACACAGAAATACACATGCACAGACGCATGTACATACACACAGACACATGTACATACATACACAGACACATGTACACACAAACACATGTACGTACATACACACACGTACGTACACACACAGACACATGTACACACACACAGACACATGTACACACACACACATACATGTACATACACATAGACACATGTACAGATACGCACATGTACATACACAGACACATGTACACACACACACACATACATGTACATACACTTAGACACATGTACAGATACGCACATGTACATACACACAGACACATGTACAATTGTACATGCATACACAGTCACACACACACACACACACACACACACCCACCCCCACCCCCCCATAAAAAGTTGCAGTACTTCGTTGTTCACTCACAAAGCCGGGTACTGCACTCTAGGGGGAGGCAGAGAGCACAGCACACACTCCTTGCTTTGCTTTCACTGCGCTCAGCTATTGAGTAGTCTGACGGCTCCCAGTGCCAATGACAGATCCGGCCTGAGCTCCGAGCCTGCTCAGCAAGACGTCCCTGGGGGACACACTCTCGCCCCCTCCAAAAATTTCCACTCACCATTGGCTAGCAGGCGAGTGGAAATTTCAAGCCCTGTTATAGAGTATACAAACTATGGTATATATATTTGAAAATTGATCATTTCTGATGTACTGAGGCCCTAAAATGCCAGGACAGTACAGATAACCCCCAAAATGACCCCTATTTAGAAAGTAGACAGTCCAAGGTATTTAGTAAGAGGCATGACGAGTTTTTTGAAGTTGTAATTTCTTGTCACAATTTTTTGGAAAATGAAGAAATTAAATAAAATTCTTTTTTCCATAATTTTTTTTTGTCACCAGCGCAGTACAGCATCATCAGATGACTGGTGTGGCGGTGAACAGGTATACTGGCTGATGACAGTACGTAAAAAATAAATCATTTTTTATTCAGTTTTTCTAAATATGTTTACATTTGTTTTACTTTTTTTTTTTTACATCCTGTCATCAGAGTAGCTCAGCATCACTATGTGACACTGTACTGCTCTGGGGGTGTTGATCAGGGTTTTTTTTTTCTTACATTGTTATTGCTTATACAGTGAAGATCACTGTATAAGCAATAGCTTTAGCTGTCATGAATGGGTTTTCCATTCATGAACAGCTTGCTTTTGATTGTGATCTGGCTAAACGTGATCTGTGATTGGCTAAGCTAATCACATGGTACAGGTAGCCAGGTACCATTGATTGCTGTGGGCCAATCACAGATCACAACAGTAAGCAAGCTGTTCATGAATGGGAAACCATTCACGATAGGTTGTTTACATTGTTATCATAGATATCATATATTATAATAGCAGATACCTGTAACAGTGATCTGCTGTGTCCGGTAGACACAGTGGTCACAGGAGCAAGGGCGGACTGACCATTTGGAAACTCGGGCACTGCCCGAGGGCCCGGGGTCAATAGGGGGCCCCATGAGATGCCCCTGGTTACTTTTTTCATAGGATTTTTGGAGTTTTGGCAAGGACACAGGGGCCCCATGATCCCCTATTGCCCGGGGGCCCCATGAGTTGTCAGTCCGCCCCTGCACAGGAGGGGTGTGATGTGCACTCCTAAGGAGGTGCAGGCTCAATCACGTATATATACAATAGTGAGCCTGCACATGCCACCCTACCGCAGTAAATGTACTGTGGCGTTGCAGCAAGAGGTTAAAGGTACACTAAATGCTGGCTAAAAAATAATAAATTATATTCCAGTATGTATGCTTTTGCTCAGGAAAGTCCCTATTGTTCTCAGCCTCCTCCAAATCTCAAATTCCCTTTTTTTTTCTGCTGTGATCTGACTTTCTGTTAGAGGGTGGCTTAGTTTGTTCTTTATGGTCCCACTGTATGCGGAAACGTAGCCACCCTCCCTTACTTCCCCCCAAGATGGACTATTGATGGGATGTGCAGTGTGCATAGATCATCAATAATTAAATATAAATTAAATATAATAAATATAATAACATTATTAATAATAATCATCATCATCATCAATATAAAAATAATTACATTAAATATATTGAAATATAAAGAAAATGCAAGTTTTTTTTTATTTCATGCTTTTTCGTAATGCAACTTTCACCACTTGTCCTCCCCCCCTTCCTGACCGGCCCCCATTTTTTGCAATACGGCACTGTGTTACTTTACCTGACAATTGTGCGGTCATGCAACGCTGCACCCAAATGAAATCTATGTGCTTTGTTTCCCCACAAATGGATCCTTCTTTCAGTGGTATTTGATCGCCTCTGAGTTTTTTATTTTTTGCTCTATGAACAAAAAAAGACTGACAATACAATTTTTTTTTACTTTTTACCATAAAACATATCCAATAAAAAAAATTATTAGAATAGAATGACCAGTCAGATGGCATCCAGCCTAAACTGTGATTACTGCAAGGAGAGGGAAGAAAAGCGACGGGGATTTCCAACCCCTGCCGCTTTCACTCAGCATAGGATGCCTGCAGGGAGGTTTCCTGCACCGCTCCTGTGGAACCTCGCCTATGACAAGCCTGGGTTCACACAGAAGCAGTGGGGAAACCACATGCGATTTGGACAGGAACCATATTCCTGTTCAAATCACATGCTAATCTTTGTGGAGCAAATTGCATCCATTAGCACAAATCCCACCGCAAAGTATCGGTTAAGGTATCGGTAGTACTCATGAAAATAATTGGTACCGGCAACGATGCTGGTATCGGTACATTCCTAAATCATATCCAATAAAACAGAGAAAAAAAAAACTTTCTTCATAAATTCAGGCCAAAATGTATTCTGCGACATGTCTTTGCTAAAAAAAAAAAATCCCAATATGTGTAAATTCATTGGTGTACGTGAAAGTTATAGCGTTTACAAATGGCAGTTTATATGCTGGAATTTTTTTTTTTTATATACTATCAGCGACTTATACGATCAGCGACTTATAATGGGACTGCAGGACTGAGGCAGGCATTCTGATATTGGGGGGGGAACTGACTAACTGTCACTGACATCCCCAGTGCAGGAGCGAACTGACCATTTGGAAACTCGGGCACTGCCCGAGGGCCCGGGGTCAGTAGGGGGCCCCATGAGATGCCCCTGGTACTTTTTTGATAGGCTTTTTTGAGTTTGGGCAAGGACACAGTGGCCCCATGATCCCCTATTGCTCGGGGGCCCCATGAGTTGTCTGTCCACCCTTGCCCCAGTGACACACCAATACAGTGATCATTGCTATTAAAAAATCACTGACACTGTACTAATGACACTGGGCAGAAAGGGGTTAATATCTGGGGTGTTCAAAGGGTTAACTGTCTGCTGTGTTTCACATTATGTTCTGTGTGTGTTTTACTGTGTAAGCATGCTGCTTTGTATGGCTCTGATATGCAGAACAATACAAAGCAGCATGCTGGTGCTGACAGGGGAGAGATCTGTATTGTTTACATACAGACCTCTCCCCTGTCAGTGTTCCTCGGTGATTGCCAGGTGCCGGTGGGGAATCTCCGACCGGGATCCGGTGACCGATAGCTGTAGCCGCCAATGGCGGCATGCGGTGTGCGCACCCCCTACCCGGAAATACAAATTTATGTGATTTTGCGCAGCCCTGCAACAATAGTTCTGCTATAGGTCAGTTGGGAAGCGGTTCGTAAAATTAACACACAAAATGAATAAGTACAAAAAAAAAAATGTAAATATGAATGTTTATGTAGCGCCCCTCTAGAGATAACCAGGGGGAGATAATTATCAATTTTTAGTTAGAAAGACTGAGCAGCAGCCTGGGAATAGTCAGCAGAGTCAAATTTGGGTCAGGGCTGAAAGGCTCTGCAGGTCAGTACCTTGATACCTCTGCTCTAGAATCTTGGAGGCAGGAGGCTTGGCATGGGGTCAGGACAGCCCTGACCCCCGGTTCACATATATGTAGCCGTGTGGGCTGCGTTTTGCACAGGCACGAGAGCCCATTCATATGAATGGACTCCCGTGCCCTGTGACACGCAGGGAAGAAGTCCCTGCACTTCTGAAAATGCAGCCCGCACGGGAACCTCAGTTGCGTTTTCCAGTGCGGGCGGCGTGCCATTAGGACTAATGACACCCACCCGCAGGTCCGCATTCGTCTGTGCGAGTGGCTGCACGGATTGTCATGCGGATCCGCAGCGGCACCACCCGCACATATGTGAACCTAGCCTCAAAGTGGAGTTCCACCCAAAAGGGGAAGTTCAGCTCTAATGCTTTGTCCCCCGCTCCTCATTAAGGTTGGCACCTGTGGGGAGGGAGCAGGGGGGGGGGGGGGGAAGCGGGTGCCCAAATATGACAGGTACCCGCTCCCACTTCCGCTTAGGCGATCGGAAGCGCAAAAATTTTCCTCCCACCCCGTAGTCTTCTGGGACACGTGACAGGTCCCAAAAGACTATGGTGCCATTCACAAAGTACAGCACTTCTCGCACATGTGCAGTGGGCGCCAGGGAGAGAAGACGGCCGGTGAAACCAGTGGTGGTGAGGACACCACTGGATCAAAGGACAGGTAAGTGGCTGTATTTTAAAAGTCATCAGCTACAGTTTTTGTAGCTTTTGACTTTTTTCTTCAGCTGGAACTCCGCTTTAAGTATGACTGACCCTTCTCAGCAGCAGTAGCGTTTGGGTAGAAGATGGAGTGAGAGGATGAGATGTAGGAGCCTGGGAGGAGGCCCAGTGGGAAGGGGCCTACCTACAGGCTGGGATCTTGACAGGAGGATCACTCAACCTCACCAGTCCCCAGAGGGCCTGGCTGTGCCGGACTAATGGGGGACCCAAATCTTTAGCGATTCCTAAGGGGGGTAGTGCTACATTTAAAAAACAGAAAGGGGGGTAGTGCTACATTTAAAACACACAAAAAAGGGAAATATCTGGTTGGAGTGAACCTTCATGCAAACTTATTTGCACCTGGTCCCCCCCCCCCCTCCAGAATTAAATTACATTTTTTAAGAGTTTCTGACAGTTTTTTTTGAGCCTAGGCATATTCTCTCCTCGCCTCTTGTGCTCTGTCCAGTCGCAGTGCTGGATCCCCCATGTGCGTAAACGTGCTGCAGGGCTTAGGAACAATTTAGGGAAAATCTAGGGCATCTACGTTTGTCGCCATTTCACAGGTGCGCACAATTTTAAGGCTTGACATGTTTGGTATCCATTTACTCGGCACAACTTCATCTTTTAAGTTTTATTTTAAAAAATGAATATGTTGCATCTGTGTGCACTTTAAGAATAACTAAATACAAAACCTTTTTAGTTTTGGAGAGAGTGGAGAGGGATTAGAACCCCTGGCAGGTTATTACTGTCTATGCCCCTGTTAGGGCTCGTTCACACTTGACTTTTTTCCAACTCTTGCCAAAACGCCCCTATAGCGTTTGACAAGCGTTGGTCCGGCATTTTTTAACACTCCAAAAACGCCGCATGCGTGGTTTACCGGCTATTGCTAGGCGTTTGTCAAGCATTAAAAATGCCCCACAAATGCCTATAATAAAGTTTGAATGGTGTTAACGCTCCGCAAACGCCTCGCAACCGCGTCGCAACCGCACTTAAATAGGAGGCACCATAGACTTAAATAGGAGGCTTCAACTCCTCCTGACCCGAC